ATAAACTGCCTAACAAAAGTTCAATGAGCTTTGCTTGCAAAACAGACTTGCTCTTKTCACAGACAAGGGTATTTGAATGAGGCTCTTCAATCCTTGATTGTTTTTGCTGGGGATGTTCAGGTAAGTGCATGGGTTACATGAAAGTGGCAGTAGCTGCTTTTGCTGCTGCCAGAATCAATGTGCCTTGTACAGGCAGGCAGCTGATGTTCTGCTGCTGTCCATTACTGCTGCTTTCACATGGCCAGGACCTGCAAGGATGAGCAAGTGGACAGACTGCAGGAAAAGTACATTTCAGKGGTTTGAGTAGTTGGTGCTTCAGARTAATRCTGAAGGACAGTGRGTAATGCTTTTGTCTGGTTYTTTTYCATAGGAAATTCTAAGTGGGAAAGAAGCACTGGATAAGTTAATCAACAGACTACTGGAGTATGCAGAGATAGAAGCTGTCACCCAATRTCTGGAAAATTTGCAGGCTTTAGAAGGAGGAGGCTGCTGAAGACTTTGTGTAGGGTTAAAACAGAATGGTTGTGTTTGGTACCAGAATAAAACAGATGTGTTTGTTGYAAGGTATGTTGATTAAAATCTATTCCTCTGTTTTTCAGTGTGTGATATTACTTTTCTTTTTTAATTTTGGGGTAAGTAGGTTGAATTTATTACTGCAGCCCTGGCAGAAAAGAACCAGCTTGGAATACTGTGTGCACACTCCTCCTGTCTTGGCAGCTGGGCTTTGTTAAGCTGGTCCTTCTCTTGACCATATCRCAGCTGGAAAGATGCAGAATTGTGATGGAGTGAAATAAATACCACATAGTGCACTTTTTGTCTGGTGGTGGGAGATGTTCCTCTCCAGGTGAAAGAAACTGAGCTCCCCTAAMATGTACTAGTGACCTCATGAATACTATTTATTTTTACACATTTATTGTGTGAGCTTCCCAAATGAAATTCCTTAGAAATAACTTTATGTTACAATGCTTTGTTTTTTTTTAGAGTAAATAAACAAAAGCAAAGGGAGTGAAGGGGCCAGAATGTTAAAGCTAAGTCTGTTAGCTTTATTTCAGGAATTCTTAGGTCATCTTGTGATGGGACTGACCTATGTGTTGCAGTGGTATGTAGAAGTACATGYTCCAGTTTTAAATTAAGTTTATGAGGTAACAGGCATCTCCCTGCCTCCTGGCAGAGAAAATGAGTTAATGTTACAGATGCATTTTAGTAAACCAGGTAGCTCTGGAATTCAGCTTYCTTCTTTGGGAATGTCTGCCTTTGCCTGTCCTTGAGGGTGATGCAGGTGTCTACAGGGCATGCTTGGCTTTGACAGGACTCATGCTCATGTTTTACCTTGTGCATGTCCCACACAGGCTGGCACTCACTGTATGCCTGTGCTCAGTGTGACATAAAAATGGGTGCTCTGCTCAGCTGGGCTCACTTATGAGATCACAGCATTCTCTTTTCATCCTGCCCACCCCAGGTTCTGCTGTAAAGCTGCTCTGCACTGTTGCTGCACATGAAGAGTCAGTTCATTGTTATGATTTAAATTATGCCTTGTGGTTTGTATTTGCATATTTATTTTATGATTATGAATGATGCAGTGTGAGGAAATGTCAGGCAATTTAAGAAAAGTAATTATTTTAATACTGAGTTCTGGTAAAGGGTGTAGTTTTTACTACTGTATCTATAACAATTGTGACATTATTCAGCATTATGAAGAATTTGTACCATGAAGAAAGCAGGAAAACTATACTTACTTCCTCAGTTCCGGAATTATTTTTCAATTCTTTTGCGTGTTCCTATCAGCAAACTTTGTCTGACAATTTCTGACTTGCTTCCAACACTTAAGTTACAAAAGCTTTGGGCCTTCAGTTGAGTTGTTGGGCTTTTTTTTCTGATAGCTCTGCAAGTCAATCAGGAAATGTATTACTGTGCAATTCAGGATTCATTTGAACTTTGACTTCTTTCAGTAAGCAATTCAGGAAAAAAAAAAAACCCTCCAGGAAGATCTGCAACTGAGCTTATGCTTCTTGCAGTGCTGACAGACTGGCAGTAGCTAATATGATCAGCTGCAGCAGAATATCCAGCTCATGTGGTTATCCAATTATCATGCTCATTTTGATTATGCAATTAAATTAACCAACTTATTTTATTAATTTCATCTCTCWAACAGTCTTAGAAACTTCTTAAAAAGTACACATTTTAAATAATCGGATTCCACTTCTAGGATTAGTTAATGACTATGAAGTACTTTACTATGAAAAATTACTAAAACACTTAAAAAATGAGCCTCATTTATTTTACTGGAAGAGAGCAGTATTTCTGCAGGACCTTAGGGATATTTTAGATAAATTTTCTGTAGCTCTTTTTTGTTGTTGGTTTTGTGCAGTGATGAGAAAAGAGAAAGCAGACAGCAGCAACCCTCTTGTACTAARTTTTGGATGTCCCAAATGTAGGCATTGAAATTTAGCAGCTAAACCCYTTCTTGCCAGACTGGCCCAGATCCTGAAGGGTCTTTGTCCTAAGCTTTTCCTGCAATCGTGTATGTGTGTATGTGTCAGCTAAATATGGTTTATGACAGTTTGGGCTAGAGCAGAAACACCTCTACAGGAGGTCACTGCCTGCAATTCTCTGCTTTACTAAAACCAGATATATTTGCTTTTCCTCATTGTGATCACATTATTTGAAACCCTTTTTTCCTGACTTAAAAAATACTTGAAGCCATATTTTATTCTATGTTTTTTTACCCCAACCTTTCCGTGGKATGTAAGAGCTGAGGGATTGTGATGGGGTTTGACTGTGGGCTGAYGCTTGTCCTCAAGGAAGGGATGTGGGGTATAACACTGCTATTTCTGAGGGGTTTTCAGGATAGAATATCTCAGCTTGGGCTTTTTGGTTCCTACAATCAATCAGGACTTTCAGCAGTGAATTCTGTAGCAGGAAAAATGGTAGCAAAACACAGAGAGTAAAGGGGAAAACAGCTTCTTGGGAAGAAACAAACAGCCCCGGGGGACAGCACAGCAGAGCAAGAGRTTTCTCTGCTAAAAACAGCCTTCTCCTGCAGCTTTCCTTGTCAAGTAGTGTTAGAACAAACATAAACCACCACGCCTCTGCCTGGCTTCCCCTCAGCACCGTCTAGGGAACTGAGACCTTACCCACAGACATCTTGTTATAGCTCATGCAAGGCACCAACTTCACCACCCTGCAGATCCTGCTGATTGATATGAAATATAGTTCCTGGTTCTCTTTCATTTCTCTGCTGAGGTCTCACACAAAAGTTGCACCCAGCCAGGAGGGAAGCCAGATGGAAGCTGCATGTGCCTGGAAGTAGCCCTGGCAGTGGAGAGATGGATGTTTACCCTCTGCAAAAGGAGGGCAGCCCCGGTACTTTGCCTCGATCRCTTTCATTGAGTCATCAAGTGAGTGTCTGAGGGCACTGCTCATCATTCCTAAGGCCAGYAAATGTGCAATACTGAATCACAATYGGTTATAATCAAAAAGCTCATATATTCAGCTTTATTCTGAATGTTACTAACAGTAACTGCAACAAACCTTTTTAAATTAAAAATCTTAACCCAGGATTTTTGTAACTCATAACTGATGCACAGAATGAACCAATTTCCAGTAACTGCTTCAGGCTCTACTGGAAGGCACACAGGCACTCTCTTGGTAGCCACAAAATAAAAGGTTTTTAAGAAGCATTCCCATATTTACAGACCTATTTTAGTTTTTATTTACCCCAGACCCCATTTTTAACAGAATATGCACCCCTAAATCAGTAGCAGGAAAACAGAACAGATGTACGATGGCAACGCAGATTGTTAAAATGAAAGCTTTATTGAGTATTTTCTTATAAATTCCAAGAGCTTTCAATATTTTGTAATTGCAACTGAGAAGTTGCTCAAGAGAAACCAGCTGTTTAACTTTGTAGACATTACTTATAAACTAAAACAAACGCTTTTCAATCACCCCAAGCAAGCTATTAAAATCCTCTGTCTCCAATTCATGGTCTGTACAATGCTGTCTGCTGGTTTTCAACATAGGCTATTTCTGGGTTTACAGGTAAAATCAAATCTGCTTTTGGGAATCCTGGGAATTTCCAAAATTCTCTAGGACTCTCTGAAATCTGGCTCTGGGAATCTTGGGCAAATTTAGCCTTTTTGAGATTATTATTTGTAACACTATTTGCTTTGAACTTCTATTCAAGTTCTATCCTGAAACATTTCACAAAGCTAAACCTRTTAATCACAAAAATGGTTAACACAATTTCTAAGTTAAATAATTTAGCAGGCAGAAGGTAAGGGGATTTAAGAGGTAGATAGAAGAGAGACTGAAGAGTTCTGGCTGACAAAACAGAACCYAAGGGTTGCCACAGTTGTTAGGAGGAGGTATACAGACAGCTTTTGTACCAACAAGCAAAGGATCTAAGGGCTGCAAACCCCRTACGAGGAATGGAATGTCTTGGGAAAATGAATTATCAAGGAAATCAAAGGAGCACATGTAGTCAAGTCTTGAAACAGCTCGTGTGTTGTTGGAAAACAGACWGGGCTCTTCAGGGCACGGTGCAAACAGGCAGCAGAAGCACTTGGCAGGAGCTGGGACCTGGACACACAGTGGCTACAGAAGAACACGAAGCTTTCTGGAAATCTTGGCAGAGCAGAGAAGGTGAAGGTGGACACCAGAAACACGGCACAGCAGTGATACAGAGATCTGCATATCTGGGAATACTGGAGGAAGACAATTCAAGGAAGACAGCAATAATAAGAAAAGTACTGAAAAAGGGGAGACACAACTCAAAAAACAAATCAAGGAAACCAGTGAGCATGAAATAGTTTTTTACTCCCTTTCTGAGATGGCAAAATTTGCACAGAAATAAAATCTTTTCCAGGGAAGAAGAAAGAAAAATTCACTAACCTGTGCATGTATAAAATTAATTCAGATCCATGTCCTGACCAGCCCTCCCACTTCTAAAACTGAGTATTGGGACTGGATGTTGCTACAGGCACAGATGTTACCAAACAAAACTTTACCCTGTTAGGAAAGCGTGGATTTCAATCGACAAATCCCTAGGTGAAGGATTAAAATGTGGTTTAGCCTAACTAGGAACAAGGATTATTCTACAACATGGATAAAATTTAGCAGTCTCTGCACAGCTCCTGGCCCAACAAAATAATTTTTCTTTTTTCTGTATATGCAATATGTTTGCTTCTAAAAACATCACCAGCTTCAGCCAGGTCCTGCTCTACAAATGCACACAAGTCTTATGCTGTGCAGCTGCTTTTCTAAACAGACGAGGCAGATGAAAACATGAGGCAAGGAAAGAAAAATATAGAGCAGTGAATTGACTGGCTCGACACTGTGCAGAAGAAATCATCAGAAATTGCAATGACTCCCCCGCCCTCGCTCTCTGGCTCTCCTCATATTGCTAATAGTGTCTATGACATCATTTAAAACCAAGGGTGTAGTCCTCACTCAAGGAGCTTGCAATAAAAGCAGGCAAGCAGATAAAAACACACTGCATAATAGAAAATATATCAATCAGAAAAGAAAACACTTGGCTGAAATAGTAAAAGGAACCTTCTTCATCAAAAGCCAGTGCAGCCCAAAGAAGGATTAGCAGAGGAGAAGTGTAACTGTGGCAATACCTAGAAGATTCCTATAGCAAATTCTAAAAGCAAAAGATTTTGCAGGAAGATAGGACAGAAGGGAGAGAGATCTGTACAAAACAGATGTCCTGGAAAAGCAGCGTCTGTCTTAAATCTCACACAACACAGTATTTTTGTGTAGAGCAGAAAATATTTGGTTTAGGTACACAGTAAAGAAATTGAATGACAGCATGGTGCAAAATTAAACAATGGCTTTGGATATATCGAAATTGATTCAACTGGCCCTTTTTTTTTTACACTTAAGAACAAAGAATTAACTGGTCTCTGACTTTCAGAGATAGAGGAAAGCAAAGTGCTGTATTTCTTTATGAAATGCAGGCTTTAAAAGTCACATTAGCTAAAACCACATGTATGGTATTTAACATTACTGGTAAATAAACTAACTTTACTGTGAGTAGAGAAAAGTTTTAATCTCTTTTCCTAATGCTCTGGTTTGTCTATTTAACACAATACAAAGACCTTTGGTTCATATTATAACTATCAGCAGCTCCACAAGAAAACAAGTTTTGAACACTCATTTTCAGATGTGTTTAAACATCTGCTCAAAAGATTCAGTTACAGGTATCTTAAATCACTGCGTGTCACCACTTCACAATGACAAAACATTTTAAAGGAAAGATGTCAATATTTTGGGAACCTCACTAAGAGAGGAAAGCTATCCTCCTCTGAGGATATTAAAAGTGGAGCCTATAAAAACCCCTATACTACTGGATAAAACTGTACTAATAAACAAAAAAAACCCCACTTTTCAGAAWTCATCATGAAATGTATATACCTTAGGCTTAGAGTAACAGGAAGAGGATGAGCACAGCAGTACAAAAGAAAAGYTTAAGAAAAAGAAAGAATTGTGCTTGAAAGGAAAGCATGACCAGTTGGTAACTCAGCAGCTGGCAAAGGCAAAGGAGCAGAGAGAACTGGATGTAGTGGTAAGTCACTGGTAAGGGCACCCATGGCAGACAGTGTGATGTGGTTGTGGAAAAGGCAAATGAAGTTTAGGGACATATCAAGAGTTACTTCCAATATGCTATGGAAGTATTGGTAACATCATGCATGGCCTCAATCAAGGTAAACTAGCCTAGGGAAACATATCTATGCAAGTGTAGTGCAGGCAGCCTCAGGCTGGAATGGATGAAGAGAAGCACTGGTAGAATACTGAAGGTCCTGTCACACAAGGATGCCGTTTGTGATTTCAAGGAAAGAAGGTATGATAGATTCAAGATGAAGAAAAGCTGCTTAGCTCAAGGGCAGGGCTTGTGTAAATTGGGAGGAAGAATWAACTGGCCACAAGCACAGGGAGACTTAAAGTTAGAATACGCTCCTGGATGCTGGAGTAATGTTCAAGTAAGAACAAGACCTGAAAAATCTGATTAAGAAACCCTGTCCTTGGAGTACATGTTGTACATTCCTGCATCTAGGACTTTGAAAGCATCCTGCAAATGTCCTGCACCTCTAAATTAAAATCCAAGGCCAGATATTACAGGAAACTTTCAAATTTATCAGAACAAACATCAGTGAAAGTACAGCAACCCCAAGGAAGCCGAGGAAACACGTGGGATTAAAAACAATACTTAATTCTCTTCTAAACATAGTGCAAAAGTCACAGAAGAGCAAAAAAAGACTTTGGCTTCCACTGTATTACACAATAAATAAGATTCCATCTTGTGCTCCTTTCTTAACTGATCCAACAGATCAGCTGTTTTCTCAAAGAAATTCAAGCTCAGCACTTACCAATTCTATTYTGCTGGACTATTGACAACTGTTTTAACTGCACTCCTGAACAAAACACTGTGAGCTTTAGGAATAGAGACAGAGTTTTTAACAGATCCATTATTTGGATCTTTATGGTTCACTGATGGCTAGAGAAGCAATCAGTGCAGCTAGGTTCTGACACAGACAATGAATCTTGGTGATGCCAAATGCAGACCAATCCCTCCAAGTGAAGAAAGCAGATTTACAATCCTTAAGAAATTATCCAAGTCATCTTGGAATCTACAGCTATCAGCTCTACTGATCTTTTGGCTTCCACCCCTATGATACTGAGAATGGTGAAACTTCAATACACTTGGGCCCTCTCAGCTTATTGAACACTGCAACTATGCAACACACTTCTTATCAATAGAAAAAACACAACCACCACAAAAATGGTCCTGTATGCTGTAACAGGGCCAAGTTTCTAGAATATTTTTTCATTAAGATATCAGGCAAGTGTTTTTTTTACAGAGAAAGAGACAAAAAGAAAGCAAGATCAAAAAAAGAAAACTCGGTAAGTAAAAAGAAGGAAAAATTCAAGCAGACAATAAAGCAAAATACAACAGGAAGACATCACAGAAATGTCTACTCCAAATGGGGTGGCTCTGGTGCTGTTACTACAAGTTAAAATTCATCAAAGTTAAAACTTCTTTAAAGGTTTACATTTATCATACAATTCCACAAATAATTTTTAGAAATCATTTAGAATAGGTAGCACTGATGTGACTAACTCCTCTAAAAACAGCTTTCAAATGATCAGTTGAAATGCTGGCAGTCTCACCACCTACTCTTTTGCAAGCAATCACACAAAGGTTAGTAAGCACAGCACAATATATTAGTGGAGAAATTACACCACATAAACAATCWTGGGGGATGATTTTACTTTCTAGAACATGTTATTGATCCAGTTTATCTCCAAAAATAAAAGCTCTGCTTCATTTTTGTCAGATTAAAGATTCTTAATTCATTCTCACATACTTAGAAAAGGAGTAAAAAACCTTATGAAATGTATTTAAAACAGCACACAAAGAGCAAATAGAACTTGGATGCCATGGTTAAAATAAAGAATACGTATATTTACAATATTGCATAAGTAATTTAACACAAACTTCCATTCCAAAACCAATCACATCAAAATAAAATAAAAAAATAGTAAACTCACATATGTTTTAATACCTATAAATCCTTAACTTCTATCCAACATTTTCTTTATAAAAGCCTGTTTAAAATATTAAACTTTTGATTCACTCTAGCTTAAACAGAATCTAAAATGATTTGTTAAGTATTACTGATCACTTAGTCTTTGTCTTAAGTTTCTAGATTTTCCRTTTTCAAATTTCCTCTTCTTAAACGTTGGCACCCCTTCTGTCAGGTCTCCAAGGGAGGTGACTGTCTTCTCTTTAAATATCACTGTTTCCTCTTCTGGAACCTCTAGCACTGGGGGTGCTACATTGTCATTCTCTGTACTTGGAAGCTCCAGGTCCACATTTTCACTGGGAGAGGAAAATGTAAAAGGGTTACTCTACACGGAGAAAATAACATGTACTGCATACAGCAACAGCTATTTTTATTTGACAAAGCAGCTGTGAGCTAGATSCAGTCTTCTAGCTACCATCATGACAGGCATCAAGGAAAAAGAACATGTTCTTTGTTTCTTCTCTGTGGGCTGCCGTTAAAAGTAATAAAGTAACCCATTTTTCRGTACAGAGCTTATACCGGCCCAAGAACTCATCATCTAAACAATCCTCTAAGAGATAAYAGGGCTGCATGTCTGTAAATTTAGGAATATTGAAAGACAGTGAGTAACAGCAGTGGTTCACTGTCAAAACACCACTGAGTCATTTTCCTCAAGTGTCCATCATGAAGGGACTACATAACACAAGGGAGACCCAGCTTACCAAATCAGCCAGTGACCCCAAGCAAGGAAAGGTAGCTTTGGAGGGCAGGACCACAGCTAATACTGATCCAAACAAACCAAAGACAYCAACTAAAAATGACCTATCAGCTTTAAGGGGTCAGCAACAAAACACTCAGTTTCACAAGGATAACCCGTGGCACAAACATATGATGGAGAAGAACCAAACAATTGGCAGAAGGTTACCCAAATCACATGTCCACCAGGAGTCACAGCAGCACAACACTGCTCCAGAGATATTGGCCAACCTACACAAGAATACTTTTGCTACTACCAAGTGTTAGTCTGATGGCAGCTTGTGTACTATACTTAGTTTAAGGTGCCATGCTTCTAGGAAGACATGGATCTGCTCCAGATGCAAACAGGAGTCACAAGAATGGTAGCAAGTCAAGAAAATGCGATTGTTGCAATATTACAAAAATGTAAACCTTCTGGAAGTGGTTGGCACTGTGCCGAGACTGAATTTAAAGTAAATAATGAACAATTGCAGTTGTTTCATTGACACTGTGTTCATCTCAAGCCTATCTATTAATGTACAGACTGATCTATCGGGTTCAGTAGCTGAAAGCACTTTTTACTACACAGYTCTTTCCAAAAACCCCAAAGAAGTTTTCAGCTCAGGAATCAAGGAGCAGTTTAGCTGGTCCAGTACAGGAGGTGTTACATCAACATTATTGTCTCCAAGGAGGTGCATCAGTGCTAAATTCAGTATAAACACTGTTGAGCATCTATYGGCTTAAGAATTTCAAACTAAAATGAAGAATGGAGTAAGCATAAGGAAAAAGACCTTTCATTCTCAYAAACCTCTTATAACCAGACTCCTTGAGGGACCCATAACGAGRAGCTGACAATAAAAGAGTATACTTCACAAGGAAAAAATAAAAAAAAATATCCACCTCAGGCATTATGCAAAAAAACAAAACAACCCTTCTTATCAGATGCACTTCATGAAAACATCTGCAGTACATTGGTCTGACATCGGAGAGAGAGAGATAGGAAGATCATAGGAGCTCCTGGGGCAGCTGAACCAGATTGTTGAAGGAGATGATATTAAGCTTAGAGTAACAATATTTAAATATTTGATACTCAGCCTCTGAAGAAACAATGCATGACTATGATTCTTAAATAATTTCAATTTACTTCGTACTCATGGTGAACTCCTGCACAAAAACCAAAACACCACCTGTATCTGCACTGGAGAGTTATTACTTAAAATAATCACTGTGAAAAGAGCTATATTTGGGCCACATTTCCAATCACAGCTGTGCTAATTCTGCCAGAATACAGAGAAAGAAGCTTCAGTTCTTGAAAACAACTTTATGAAAATCATGCTGGTAAAAGGATACTCACCCTAGTTCTTCTGCTTCTTGTTCCTCCCCTACTTCCTTAAGTGCTTTCCATTTTCCATAAGGGTTGGTCTTGTTGGATCCATCACTAGAGGTTTCTTGGGAAGCTGATGTACTCTCCTCTTTATCCATAGTTTCTTCTGACTTAACTTCTCGCCATTTCCCATAAGGACTTAACTTTTTAGCTTTAGGAGATTTTTTCCCTTCCTCTGAGTCTTCACCATTATCTCCTTTCCTCTAAAGAGGAAAAAACCCATCTTAAGCAAAAATGCCTAAATAAAAACATAATGTAGCTTTATTTTACATCTTTTATTTGCTACTATTATTATTATCTAYGTATTATCTACTATTCATACTTTTCAACCAAGAAGAACTTGAAACAATAAACACATATTGTGACATAATCTACAAACTTTTCTTCTTGAGCTTTGATCATATAGATAAAAAAAAAATCTTAAATGTTACAAAAAGTTGACGAGGGGAAATCCCATCTATCAAGGCTGAAGTTAGCAAACTGAAGGACTTGAAAAGAAAGTTTAGCATATTTTAAAATAAAGAGGAAAAAATTCACATGCCACTTTATGTACATGCAGAAGCACACACTTTATTGCCAATAGCTGGTAGCAGTTTATAACGATGCACAGTGATACAAAAAATATGTATTTTACAATTAGTATCTGTCTAGGAATAATACATTTTGTATTTAAACTCTCTCTGTTCTGAATTATCAGCTCCAGAAAAAAAATCCGACCTAACCAGAGACATTATCACATCTTTTATCTTAAGTTTTAAATTTATGTTTTAAAWATATAWTTGATACAGACTGTACTATGTGCTGTCAATGCCTTTTTCTCAAATTAATAAGGAAACTACAACCATGCCATTTTCAATCCAAAGCATTCTCTGAAGGTCTACTGGCAGTCACATTTACCAGTGAAAGGTTGAAGTCATCCACACACTGAAATCCAATCAATTTTGTGGATTATTTCAGAGAGATGACAGTGACCTTTCTCAGAGAACATCACATTTCTTGTAGAATTCAAGGTACTTCTGGTGAGTTGAAGGAAAGATCATGCTTTCTATTCTGGAACAGTACCACTAATGAGCCAAATAATTGAATAAAGATTCATTTTATTAAGAAGTTCAAGTGAAAATTTCACTTTCAGTCACACCTTTTAATCTTGTTTCAGTGAGTACAGCCCACCACAAAACATAAAAGATAGTTTTAATTTGCTAGCATAAGAKCATGTATCTAAAATAAATCTGAAGAAAACTTACCTTGAGGTTTGTTTCTGAACTGTCTGCTTCATTSTCACTATCTTCTGAGTCTGATTCAGATGTTGTTTCTGCAGGCTTGTCACGTTGACCCTTTTCATTTGAAGATGAAACAAAACCATCTGGTTTCTCCCAAGTAGATACTGTCCAAGACATTTGAACAACCCCATTACTTATGCTTCTCATTTTGATCTGTTGTTACTTCAATAACATTACCTTTCAGAAGCAGTGCTGCCTTATGCAGAATACAGCAAATAATTTAGTAAAAGGCTTTTGCCTTTGTTTGGTACGTTTGTTTTAATAACCATAATCAGAAAGATAACATTTCTTCCCGGCAGAGACGCAGTCATGACAGCTGAGTTCACTGTTGACAAAGCTTGTTTTAATTAGCTCTTACAAAAAACATCATACACAGTGAACCGTGACCCACAAGACTGTGGTCCCTCTCATTCTTATACAGCACAGACAAATAAATGAATTGCCCTCTAGATGTGTCTATTTTATTTCAGCTGTTCATTGATTGCAAACAAGGATAAAGTAAAGAATGGTAACTGCAAGCCTCATGTCTCCTGACAGATAAACCCCTTTCATGTGCTACTTTGCTTGGTAATGTTAGGGCTCTAGTTAAAAGAGCTCTCAAGCAAACAAGGAAATTCAAACATCAATCTGAAAATACATGAAAATATGGACAGGATACATACATACACATATATCCTCATTCTTAATTAAAAAGTAGTATTCCAGTAAATATACTGAGAAGAAATATTTAAATAGAAGTTGACTCAATGGTCTTAAAAATGTTTTTAGTAAGATTAAGGCCCAAGTACACCAACTTTCAGTCTATAATTTTATATAAGCTTTCAGATGTAAAGAATCCTACTCTTTTTCCTAACTGCAAACAACAAACAGGTAAGTGCCTAGATGTATCTAAAGAAGCAAAGATGTAAGAAACTGGCAATAAATTACTTTGAATAGCAGTCTCTTATAGGTACTGTTGTCACCTGGCTTTAGTAACTGAGCACGTTCACTTTCCCAGGTGCCCCATAAGCCCCTGGAGTGGGTGCAGCCTCCCAAAGCACGATTCATAGTGCCAAGCCAGGAGCCATCAGTCCCCTAAGTTACATGTCTGACATGAAACACTTATGACTATTTATATCAGTTAAAATTTCTCATGTCTTCAGAGGATGTTCTGTAGTGTTTACAGAACAGACAAGGAATCTTCAAGCATTTCCAAGACACACACAGCTATATAAAGTRAGGAATCGATTTGAAATCTCAAAAGCCAAAATTCTAACAAATGTGATGATTAGAAACACATTCTTCACAAGTGTCATGTGTCCATAAAGTACTTAAAAGAACAGCAAACATAGGCATAAAATGTATCTGAAYTTGGAACACAGCATTTAAAAATAACTAATATCTCTTCCCCCTTTCAAAAGAAGAAATTGCAAATAATTTGGGCAGGGGAGTGGCCCATTGAAAAGCTGAAAGATTTTGGATTGGGTTTTGGTTGGTTTCTTTTTTCCCTCTTCTTGGCATCATTAGCAATGCCACTTCATACCCAACTGCAGAAGGAAACCTCATAGAGCATAAAAATCACTTGCTCTCCAGAGAGGCATCACTGACCTTAAAATTACTCAAACAGATTTAGAAAACAGCTCCTATTCTTAGGGAGTTACCACAAAGTTCCCCATGTAGGCAAGAAAGGGGGAAAAAAGAAGGAGGTAAGATTCTGGACTCTTATCATTGCTATGTCAGCAAGGGGAAAAGTTTAGGAGATTCTTATTCAGTCCTACATGCCCATCAAAACAAATTCCTGCCCCCTTCTAGTTTCCAAATTCTAATTGCAATATATATGTAGTAAAGAAAAATGCATAGTTTAGAATTACAAGTTGAATGTCCAGAAGAACCTCTGAAGCACTAATGTATACACACTGACAATGTGTTGCTATGAGGCCAGTGCTGATTTAAACAACTATATTATTTCAACTAAGACAGCAGCTTAAAAAATACAAAACACAGTAAAAAAATGCAGTTATTTGCAAAACAAAAAACTTTTCTGAAAACTCTCTCTCCTAAAACAGAGCTTAACTGGAATGAAAGCTCTCCTTACCTCCAGTTTGGGTGTTATAGTAATAGGTATGACCATCTTCAGTGACACCTTCTACCCACTCTGCTCCCTAGAAAAAATAATACAGGAGGTCATGAAGAAAAGTTTCTAGGATCAACCAAAGCATCACTTAATTCAGCCCCTGAGTACTTTTCTTCTGTGATCATTCTACTGGTTTAAAGCTTGAACCCCTAACGCTGTTAGAAAGTGTTCCCTTTGACTCAAATGAGATGGAATTCTATAACCTAAAAGACTGCAAATGGACATACACCTTTTTTTTTCAATAGTGGATAATTAGTGTGATGCTGTATAATAAACATTTCCATACAGTTCAAATTACTATACAGGCCATTATCTTACATGTTTGATTTTTTTTTTCAAAGTATTCATCCCTGAGGCTGTAATTTCCTATTTGTGTCATTGTCTTTAGTGGAGATTACACCCACTCAGTAAACACAAACAAATTGTACTGATAGGTTCAGGGCAGGCAAAGGCAAAAAAGTTTTCATAATCAAGTTTCCTAAAGGTTTTGCCCTCAGAAGTTTCAGTGTGCTAGTTTTGACAAAAGAAGCAAAAGGAAAGTTTTTTTTAAATAGAAAGAGGATTAAAAAAACCCAGACTTAAGTAGAACCTGTCTTTTTTTTTAACCTTTCGATTCTGAGCATTGTAGACCTGTTGGTTGGAGGTTTTCAGTAAACATCTGACACTAGGCACACTGAGTATCCCATGTCATATATGCCTACAAGCATGCTGTCAGTCTAACTGGCCATAGGTAATCTTCAACGTGCCCCTTCATTACTCCCACCTTGTACCAAGTCTGAGCAGCAACTCARTGTGCTGTAAAACCAGGAGGGCCCCTGAATCTCAATCACACAACATATTACAAGYATGCCCTTTAATTTCTGGGCAGTGAGTCCTTRTTAGAGATCTGGAATGCTCCCAATAGCCTTAGTTCAGACTAAATAAGGGAGCAATCAAATGTTTGTTTTTAGCCATAGCAAAAATAACTCAAGACAGAACGAAGTCACTGAGTAGGGTGAGGGAGGAATGGCAAAATACAGCTATGTGGAGTTGAGAGATAGCGCAGACTGAAGGTGTTTGTTTCTGATATGGCTAAGATGAGCTAACTTCAAATTGTTGCCAAGAAGGGAGTGCCTTCTCCCCCCCAATCTGCTCTTCCCACATTGACTTTGTTTTTCTGATTATTTAGAATGCTGATAAAAAGGAAGTAAGGCTCCAGTGAACTAACCTAAACTCTGATGCCTTCACTGGCTGAACTAGTTCACTGTCAGGGTAAATATGTACCAAGGACCATATAAAACTAATTTCAGGACCACCTCTTTCAGTGGAAGGCTACAGTAAGACTGGCTTTAAATATTGCAAYGTTACACCTTGACTGAAAAGATAAAGTTGAAGTGCTGATTTACAAATTGTACAAACCCACAGGACAAGGGAATCAGAAAGCCAAAGTAGTACGTGATGATATAGTGCTACAGAATGTCAAACACTCTGAAAACACCAGGTTTTTTCTAACTCTAGTGTAAAATCCAACACTGGCAAATCAAACAAAACTGACATCAAATTATAATCTACATATGACACCTGTCTTGAAATCAGGAAAATGTAACATCWCTTCACAGAAGTGTTGAAAAAAATCCTGTTTTTAAAGATGCCAAGCACAATCTTTCAGTGGTAAGTATCATGGGAAAACCCAATAATAAAAAGAAAACTTTCTGCCTTTGGACTATTCTGCAAGCTTTTCTGTGCTTCAAATCAGAAAAATTAAGTAACATACTAAATTACTGGATAATTACCAAGTAATAACATACTAAATTTTGCTGAATAATTGCTTGTATATAGTTTCCATGATCATAAGAAACCCAGGAAAACCACAATTTATAATGTAACTGTATCATAAGGCAAACACTAAAAATGGGCATTCTTTTTTTTCGACTACCTGACAATGCACTCTTGGTGTTGCCTTAGATAAAAGGAGGCTTAACTATTTCAAATGTGTAATACTTAGTTTTTATAATTACAWTTATTTCAAAAAGCATTTAACARAATTTATTCAAATTTCCCAAAGGCCTTCAATTTTATGGGCTGAAGCATAAAAGAAGTATATTCTGAAGGAACCCAACCACCACTAATTACTTTTCTTCCCTTGACAGACAAATTAGGCAAATAGGATTTCTACAGTAAAACTGCAGTTTATCATAAAAGATTCCACACATTTAAATTATGTTTTCCTATGTTTACAAAGGGCAAAAAAAATCTTTTGCAAACAGAAGACTTGCAAATTGCTTAGATTATTTCTTTCAAGTGTTTACAAGGACAAAGAAAAATACAAATAATTTGATTACCGTTTGTGAGTTTTGAGAGTTGCCTTGGAATCCTTTTGGTTTTTCCCACTGAGATTCTTAAGAAACAAAAGAATATTTCACCCATCATTCAATATATTTATATTTAATAATCTTTACTAAAAACACATCTAAAGGATATGTCATTGATGTGTGTTCACATRTAACATATATATACATACACATATATATATTTATACATATACAYCTCACGAGAATATGAATAATTCTTGATCAAACTATGGTATGAACAACAAAGCAAAGTACAGTAATTGCAGCTGGCTTTACTGGAGCTAAAACCCCTCTMGACTCTATTACTATACCTGATAAGAGAGATACAGGATTTTTGGTTAAAAAAAAAACCAAAAAACAAAGACTACAGTAAATACTAATGTCAATCCTTAAATTTATAAGAAACAGTTTGTAATGTTCCCATTAATCATAAAATGGGTTGCTTTTATGTTCTAGAGTAGACCACAATACACGGCTCCTCAAGAGAAGTCAGTTAGATAAATTCTGTAAATGTGGAAAGACACAATCAGTTTATTTCACATTTCTGATCACAAACCTTCTTTAGGAAGAACACAGCTATCTTTGTATACTTAACACCTGTCAGGCTAAACATTTCCAGAAACTGCGGAATTACTGTATTCTTCCATTATTAATAACAGCAAAACCAGGCTGAAATTCTAGATGCCCAAGTCTAGAATGTTAAAAACGAAAACTCCATCTAGTTGCTTATAACAATTGGCTTACTACTAAAAGTGCAGATGAGCAAAGAAATGGAGACAGCCTTTTCTCACTTATATTTTATAATTACATCTGTACTTGCTCCTCAGTAWCTTTTACCTCCAGTTTTTGTGTTGTAGTAGTATGTATAGCCTTCGGGAGATAATCCTTGTACCCACTCCTTCGTTTCCATTTTTGGTGGCATTGAGGCATCCTGCGGTGTCTTTTTTTTCTTTTCTTTCTTTTCCTTCTTCTCTTTCTTTTCTTTCTTTCCTTTTGTTTCCACTGTGTTACTCTGTATTTTAGTCTGTGTCGAACTGGAACCTACGTCATCTTAAAGAAATAATATCCTTTAAAAATGAGTAYTATTCTGAACTTAAATATTAGTCACTCTTGTACAACAGAATATAGGAAACTTTGTTCTTATGAGTATTTTCACTAATGAGTTAAAATCATTAGTACTACATAGCAGGTGCACTTAAAAGACTATATAAAAAGRATCTTGCATTGCAATGATACTATAGCATAATAAAAAACTCCCAATTTAAAATAATGAGTAACAAAGAAAAAAATCATAAGGACCAATGAGCTCTAACTAAACAACCAAACAGAAACTGAAAGTGAAGAAAAAGACTGCTTCTACAGGAGTCTGAAACTACAAACTTGTAGTTTAAAGAATATGYCTTCAGTGTACAGAACAAAGGTAGTTGCTGAGCTGCAAGCTGGATTCTCATCTCCACTGTTTGGCACCAGTGGGAACCCAGCMTCTTCGACTCATAGGAACTTTTGCCTCCAACTGGTAAAAGTGAAACATAAAATTAATCAAAGGAAGCTGCACTGCTGATTCAAAGCACCAAGTACAGCCTAATTTTCTGTTAACGCATTGTTTAATTTTTCTACTCCAAATTTGATTGTTCAATGGATTAGAGGATACCATAGCTATAAATATTCTGTACTGCAACTTCTCCTACTGGCAATTTGCAAACTTGATTTTTTTAAAATGAGCAACAGTCCTGGAGGCCTCCTCTCTCATTCCTAAACCTAATTAAAGACAAAACTTTCCTATTCAATATTCTTTCAGTTCTGTCTTTAATCTTCTGGCAGCTATATGAACTACCTGGCTTAATTCCAAGCCTTTTCATATCTTCTTGATATGCTTTCATTGCAGCCTCTTCCATTGCTGCAAATTCTTTCGACATGTTTTCTTCTTCTTTTGCCTTTTCCAAGCTTTTCTTTCTAATCTAAAACAAAACAAAAAAAGCCCCAAGAGAATAAATTAAACCAATCTGATAATGAAAGCGAGTAAAAATAAGCATTTGTGCAATTAAGATGTTTGAGTTACCTCACTAATTCTTTTTGCCACATTTTCTTTGTGATTCTTTCCTCTTTCATGAAACTCAATGCTCTTCAAAGTAAGAAAGGAAACCAAGAAAAATAATATGTATTATACAATTTTAAAACAGTTAATTTTAGTTACTTAGAATTTAGCTAGACTAATTCTAGTTGAACAAGCCTAAAAGTAACCTGTTCTGAGAACACTTAGAGCAAACACTACAGCTATAAAATGGTTATAGGAATACAGGAATACTGAGAAACACGCAACAGAGAAATTATGAAAAATCATAATTTTGTAATATGTGTAATAAAATCTCATAATGTRTTTATAATATTCAATTTTTTTCAAATAATACTGTTCAGCATACATGTTAGAGACAAGTAACAGGGAATCTGGATTCCCTCTTCATGCTATCCTTCCATGTATCATCATGATTTTTCTTTCCTGTTCTCATGAAAACTTTTAAAAACCATAAGGGTTATTTAGTGTTCCAAATACTAGCTACTGCCCTCAATTAGATTATGCTACACTTCACAAATATGTCATGAACTTAAATTAGTCTATGGGTCCAAAAATCTGAAAAAGAGAGGGAGAAACAGGAAAAGGCAAAGTGGGAGAGTTGGATAACTAAGGATTACAGAACAGTCTGCAARCCAAAAAGTTGCCAGAAAGACTGAAGCCAGTAGGAGCCAGAAAGAGTTCAGAAAACTCCCAACAGGTACAACAGTGGAAGTCCTCATGTGGTTCTCACAAAAAAAAACATCTGTGCTCATTTAGGTGTTCAGATGTTAGATGCCTAAGCCTGACCTGGTAACCCTGGAATTTCTCAGCACAAACTGATGTGYAGAGGATGCACATCCCRGATGACTCATCTCATTTAGAGTCAGACTTTATAAGTTACTTAAATCCCTCCCTTGACACATATTTCTCTTCACTTACTCCAAGAAGATACCTGCAGTACATGTGAGCTAATTAGGTATCTTACTTTAAGCCAGAGGAAGCTCAACTCTAAGAGAACCCCTGGCATCAAGTCAGAATGCAAAACTTATTTCTAAGAGAAGACACCAATGTGTCTAGTAGTCTGCAAAAGGCACCTGCAAGTCAGAAACAYCTTTCTGTAACCCAGTCATGTTTCTGTGGGCTGTGTGAAATGAAAGAAACCTGCTTTAAGAGATCAGAGTCTTGGCTGTACCGTGCCTACCACATACAAACAATGCAGATGCCAAGTTTTGCTTTCTACTCGCACATGGATGAAAAGCAAGGGAGAGGAGCAGACAAAGTTTCAAGACAGACCAAATGTTAAGATACAGAACTCGAAGAAAAAGCAGGGTCAGATATTTAGTCCTTATCTGTACTGCCAAGTAGAACAGCACAGACCATCTTGTATGTGGTATCTGGCTCTGACGTAATGTATTTTAAACATCACAGGTGTTACAAAGGCATTTTTAGAAAACAAGTTTCATGCATCAACAGACTAGTCTCAAAAAGTGATGTTAAAAGCCTGTCATTCAAATTCCTATATTTAAAATAATGGACATAGTATGGTAGACCATCGTACAGGTCTGTTGTCTGCTATCCAGCACTTGCAGTAATCGCAGAATTTTTTAGGCTGAGATTTCCAGTAATCGGCCCTGGGGAAAGAAAAAGAAAGATGTATAATCTGAAACAATAACCAAAACCACAGGTTTTCATATATATTTTTATATATTTATATATTTAGTCTTCTTTGGGTGACTAAATAATAGGAGTTTGATTTTCTTTTTTTTTTTAAATGAAGTCTAGGGAGCCAGTAAGAGTAACTGTATTAACAACTGTGTCTCATAAAGCACAGTTCAGTACTGGGATTTTGACCATCTGATCTCCAAAAACTGCCAAATGTTTACAACTGAGGCAGTGCTGTAAGAACCAGAAATACAAGACAAAGCAAGCCAGAAATAAACAAGCAGTTCCAGATAGCTCATTTAAACATGGAACGGTCAGAAAAGTGCAGTTTGCACTATTTTCCATTAAAGTGCTGGATACTGGGCACAGTGAACTCAGCAATACAAAGGTGCAGTTCTGGACAATGCTGAGATACTGTGCAGAATGAATCCCAGACCAGATTCTGATCTGTGGAGTCACAGACATAGCATAAATCGTTTGAATGTTTCAGGGTAAAAATGTAAGAATTTCTGAACCATGTAATTAGATAAGGGAGGAAACTTGGGGAAACGCTTCAGAGCTCAAAAGTTAGTATATTAAAGTATTTAAAAATAAAACCAATATCCTCCAATGGATGCTTCTTCATCAAAAACCACCTTCTAATGCCAGATGAGACTTGTATAGAGGCAATTCTATTTCTCGTTGGCTTGCAGAARCAGACACAGTGCTTTGATTCAACAAAAGACATTTGAGTAACAGACTTTGTGTTTTTAAATTAAAACGAGAAAGAATAAGGGACAAAATAAATTTTAAAAATATTTAAGATTACACTGAGAACATCAGAAAAAACTGAATCTTGGCCTTTTGTCTGAAGACCAGTGTATAAAGTTTAAGGAAAATACTTCCTGACATTCAATAAAACCAAACTTCTTCCATGCACAACAATAGCACCCTCAATCCTTATGATAGGTGTGAGCAGATCTTTAATTATGGAAACAGACATGATCAAATCAACTCCTACAAAGTAAGAAGCTATCAAAATAAACTCTCCTACCAGTGCTTCACATAAAAATACAATTAGCAAGAGATTATTTAAAAGTGTAAGTACAGAGGATGTACTCTGCAAAAATGTATCCACCTATAAGCAAYAGTGTGTTAGCAATGCACAGCTTTTCAAGCAATTTCCTGGAAATCTAGAGAGAAGCAGCTGGGTTTTCCCTGATTTAAACAGAAATCTGCTCATCCCTAAATGGTGCACTTTAAAACTGTATGATTACTTAGTCACACATTTCATTAAAAGGGTTTTTTTTTAGACTTATAACAAAACATACTAGGGGCAAAACGCAAGAAATCAAATGCTCTGGCTGGAAAATCAGCTGAGTGGGAGGGAGAAATTCAAAGCTCAGAAATACCTTAAGATCCTTTTTCCTATTTGAGCTGTAAAATGCCTCTAAATCCTTCGACATCATCTACAATAAATTTCCAGCTAAATGCAGGGTTAACCTTCCTAAGGCAATGGACCAATTTTGACAGAAAACATCAACTGGAAAAACCCCTCACTGTATGTTTTGGATGTGCAAGAACCTCTACCTTCTTCCAAGTTTCACCTACACAAGAGGCTCTTTCTCTTCAACAGAATCAAATGTAAGTGCTAAAATTAAGACTGTACAGCTGCACCCACCACAAGTCAAGACCTGAGAATCTGACAAGCTGTATTTTCACAGCGCTATTTTTCACCAATTTCTTTCCTAAATGCTACTGGACACCACATGTGTCGCAAACCACAGTAGCTATACATAGAGTAATTACTCTGGAGAACCTGAGGACACACCTATGTCTTTAGGACAAATCCACACATCTTGATAAAGTCTCTTAGCTTCATCTCCTATTGGTTTTGATGAAAAYTGGAGATGGCTCTCTGTTTTTACAYATAAAATAACTGTAAATGGCACCATGTGCAGATACCCTAGGAACCTTAAATCTTGCATTTCATGATTAATGAAATCAATTGTGCAACTTATGATCTCAATTCTGTGACTAAGGAGCATGAGGAAACTTATACACCAAATAATTCTCTTAAAGATTTTTCACTTGAGTTCMCACCACTGGAAAAAAAAGAGCAAGCTCAGCTGAAATATCCATCAAATAACATCTGCCATTGTAACAACAGCAGAGCCTGCAAAGCTCCAGTGGTGCTGCAATGAGAGCAAACCAAAGAGGAATATGCAGAAAGGAGCAGCAACTGAAGTGAACCCCCACTTTATCAAGATGCTACAAGTGCTTCATGGGCTCCATTCACAATCCAGATCCATGTCAATTTTTCAAGTCTGTGATTGYTTTAAAAATCTGACAAATACGGGCTAGAGAGCAGATGGTCTTAAAGTGGSACAGATGTTTTTTATATTTGAATAATTGTGCACAGGTCTTGGGAAATACAGTTATGTTATAAAAAGTCATTGCAGTCAAAATGGTACAGCTTTTAAGATTCCTTGTCTTCTGCCAAGGGGCAACTTCCGGACAAACTGCTGTAGACTCATCCAGAGTTGGAAATCCCATACTAATTTGCAAAAAATTTGTGTCTCCTCAAGAGTAGTGAGTTTCAACTTTTACTGGTCACATAACTCAGAAGAAAAATGTACAACAGTTTAGGGGGCTAAGGGGAAAGGGGGGAAAGGAGGGRAAAAGAGGAAATGAACATCAAACTGTGTTTTTGAAACTAATGAAATGACAAAGTGTTGCAAACAGCAGAGTGCAAACTGCATCAATGTTAAAACCATTTTTTTAGATTTCTGAAATTGATTTAAACATCAGAGTGAATGAGAAGACAAGAAAGAACAAGTAGCAGCTCTGCATTAATAGTGCCTGCCACATTYGCTTTTCCAAAAGAAAAGAAAATGACGAAATTCAGAGAGAAAKTGCTGAAATTCAGGTATTTCTACTCTGCACAATTAATTTCTTGAGCCAGGAGAAATCCCGCAGCCTACATTGCAGTGACACATCCCAGCACAGGGACCAMGTATTTGGGGACACGTTTGGGCTCTGCCAACGAAATTCAGGAAGTAACCTGCAGAATAACTCAAGTCTGGAGTATAGGGCCCTGAACTCTCAACCTGCAAGTTGCTTCTCATCACAAATTACTGTACTATTAATGCTTCAACACATGCAGCAAACAACTTTCCTCATATAGGGAAGCTTAAAAACCCTCATAAAGTAGCTATCTTGAGCTGAAACAGCTTTGCCAAACTTTACTTGGAGACTGGGCTGGAGGATTTTGTTTCAACCATGTACTGAAATTAAGGAGGGAGGAGAAATAACTGGTTTAGGTGGTTCAGAACACAATAAAAAATCATTTGGCTGTACAAACAAAGTCTGGAAGCATTTGCTTTGAATAGCTCTGTTAAAATATCTGACTTGAAATCTGGCAGTGATGCAGGGGGTTTGTATCAGGGATGTATCAATCCAAATTATAATCCTCGGGGATAAAAACCAGAATATACAGGCTCAGCAGCCTTCTTTGGTTTGAGTATCTGCAACCTCCAAAAACATTACAAGAATTTAACATCTTACAGCTTTCTGCAAGTTGGAGCACTGAAGAGCTGCTACAAGCATCATCGCCTTGAATAGATGTTTGTGAAGGAAGATTCAAGTTCTTGACTACACAAGCAAATTAATTCAGAATAGTGACTGGTCTATAGCAGCCACTCAAAAGGACAGACTCYGTTACTATCTCTGAACACTATTTGGGAATACAGTGTAAAACCAAATTTTTTGTAATGGAAAGAAGTAGAAATAAACAAAAGAAAAAAAAAAAAAAAAAACCCACATGTATTTCACAACAGACCCTCCTCCACATGGGAAGCTGTTCCAGAACAGCTGAATTCCAATTCAAATATCCCAGTATTGGTGAGACCTAAAACTGCAATGTTACGACTGGCAAAGAAGAAGGTCAAAAATATTTTTTTCACTGTGAAGTAGGCTCCAGCACTATAGCCCCTAATAACTCAAAATCCCAAATAATTCACAACAATTCTGTTCATTAATAGTGCACTAATTGAATCCTAATAACTCTTCTTAGATAAATACCCTTAACTTMTTTTTTAATGGTATTTAAAAGTAAGTTTTATGGAAAAGAGCATTCGTGACACCATAAGTACATGGGACTGTTCTTCTGCCTAATCCTAGCTTGTTGGCTTTCTAATCGATCACACAATATATGTCCATACGTGGACTACTACAGAGTAGAACTGGATAGAAGTTTCCTTCACATGAAACATGGCAGTTCTCTGAAGGACTTTATTCTTCTGGACTTTAGGTTGACTATATTTTTTGCAATCCCTCTGTAAATTTTAATTCACAACCCAAGTGTCTGTTTCTTTTTATTATTATATTAGCCCCCTGTGGTCTACTTACAAATTACAATATCCCATGGAGAACAGTTTGCAGAAGCTGCTCAGCCTGACCTGTATTGTTGAAGATCATTTGCATGAACCTGCTTTGCCAGACCTCTTTTCTAAATTGTAAATTACACAATCACATAATCATTTAGGTTGGAAAAGATCTTTAAAATCATTGAGTCCARCCCTTAGTCCAGCACAGCCAAATGCACCACTAAACCATGTCCCTAAGAGGCACATCTATATGTCTTTTAAATACCTCCAGGGATGGTGACTCAACCAGTTCCAACGCCACAAATACTTCTAATATACAAGAATGCACAAAGATATCAAGGAAGGCAGCTTTCTGCATGTATGGCGCTCAATTCTCTAGGTCATCTCCTCCAACTTCAGTTGTCTAAAGAGTGAGACAGAGTTGTCTCCGTTCTCCCTGTCAATAGATGGAAACTGTCATTTGCAAAACACTACTCTTTGCATCCTAAGGAGACACTTGAGAAGCATAGTGAACTCCTTAGGCGCATGTTTCATCTTTATACCGGGAACTTAAAGCGAACTGCCTGAGTCAGCCTTCAAATGTTAAATATCTGAAGTCAGGGATATCTCCTGAGAGCAGAGGTCTGCCGCTGTAGATGGAGAAGAAGGATATGGGCTATGTCAGGAAAAATGTGATAAGAATTAGAAGAGAGGAAAAAAACAGCAACATAAATTAGGTCAGGAATCTGTTCAAGTATAATTWTAGCAATAACTAAAATTAAGAACACTGCTGTACATAGTACCAGTCTGCAAGACAGGCTCACAAAGCTCACCATCAAGTACTGCCCCCCAAACAGACTTCTGGAGAGATTTTTGAAATTTTAAGATTTTTTTTTTCAGCAGCTAAGTTAAGATATCGTGAAAAGTAACAGAAATAAGCAAAYAGAAATACCATTCTATATGCCATTCTCATCTAATAAATGTCGCAGCTTCTATTTTTACACAATCCCCTTTCCCAAATGTGGTCAGGTATTAACACAAATTTCCTAATAAACGACTTAAAGTAAGTAGTGAAGGCCAGGGAAAACCAAGGCACAGACGCTTTTCTTCCTCACGCTTCGCCCAGAACCAAAGGCGCCAAAGGAGGCCGCAAGGTGGGGGGACCTGGGARAGGGAGGGATGCAGGACCGGTGGACGGAGAAGGGGGCGGGAGCAGTGCGGGGGAGCGCAGGGGAGAGGGAAGGAGAGCAAGAAAGGGGACAGCAATGGGATGCAGGATGAGAGGCCGCGGGCCCCATTCCCCGCAGCCCTCCCTGACCCGCGTTGAGAGGCACCGAGTGCCCCGCCGGCGGAGGGCGAAGCTGCCCAGCGTGTGTTGGGGCGGTATGGGCATGAAAGAGCAGCAGAAACAAACAAACAACCCGCAGAGAGAGGCAGGAAGGACAGGAGCAGAGGGACGGTGAAACACCTCGCTCAGCGGAGCGGGGGTCGCCGGCCGCAGCCGGGGCACGGCCGCAGCCCCACTGCCCCCGATCTCCCCAGGGCCCGCGGGGGCCCGGCCCGGCCCCTGCACCGCACGTCGCCAGCCCTGCCCGACCCCGGCTCGCAGGGCGGGGGGCTGTGCCCGCTCTCTCCCGGCCCCCGGCACTCACATCGCCGCTCCCCCGGCAGCGCCGCCGCTCCTCTCCGGTGCCCTGCGCTCCCCTCCGCTCGCCGCGCCGCCGAGCCGGGATGGGGCGGTGCCGGGAGAGGGAGGCAGCTTGGCGACGGGAGCCGGGAGGGCTCAACCCGCGCTCTCCTCCCCGCCCTTCTCCACCTCCAGCTCTCGCCCGCTCCTCCTCCCTCGCCCCCGAAGAGGCGAGCGCTCAGCGGGAGCCGCCCGGAGAGCGAGAAGGAGCCGCGGCCGCTCGGTGAGTGCCGCCCGTCGCCCAAGTCGTGCGCTCGGGGGCACCGGGAGCCTCAGCCGCCTCCCCTGCGGCGGGGAGAGCCCCGCCGCCCGCAGCGCCCCGTGCCGGGCAGTCCCTGCCCCGCCGCGCCCGTGGGAGATGGAAGGTGTGGGAAGAAGATCGGCGATGGGGTGCGGAAGGGCTGGAGAGGCGGCGGGCCCCGGCGGGGCGGCGGCCAGCGGAGCCGCGTCCCGCCGGACGCCGCTGCCAACTTTCTGGGAGTTCGGCGGCGCGTGTGACGGGAGGGCTCCCGCTCCGTGCCGGCTTCACCTCCTCCCTCTCCCCGCTGCCCTCCGGCGCCGCCGCCCTGCCCTCCCTCCCTCTCTCCCTGCTTGCTTCCCCCCGGGCCGCCCGCCGCTCCCGCCGGCGTGAGGCGGCCGCGGCCGCGGAGGGGGCTGAGGGAGAGGGAGGGGGGGCAAGGGCCGGGGCCGCTCCGGGACGGGGGGGGACGGGGACGACACGGTCACACTCGGGCGTCCCTGTCACTTTGGCTCCGCGTCGCCTTCTCCGCTGTTTCCCCCACAAATAAAACTCACCCCGGGCTGGTGTTCCACAGCTCACCCCCCCACCCCCCTGCCCAGCCCTGTGTGACTGATCTCCTGATCTCCCCACGGTTCTGCGAAAAAAGTCGTGTTAATTCACCGGCTGCAGCTGGCAGCCTGTTTGCTACAGTCACGCACAGGGGTGGAGGAGAAGCCTGCGGAGTGAGTCATGGCTGTAAGAGGCCCTCCGGTTGTTTATGGCAAAAACAGGGGGTGGCTCATTCAACATGTGGGAAATACGGGGAGAGTTGCCTCGATCCTACAGGGACAAGGCAGTGGTACCTGTATCTAGCACCCCCTTCCCCAACTTGCTGTCGAGCTGCCTGAAAAAGGAGGTGGGGAGGTTCCTTTTCCTCTCACAAGGAGGGCTTGTGGTCAGACTGTCATAGCTAGCTGCAGGAGTTTTGCATTTGTCAGCAGTTCCATTATAAGTGTACTTTTTATGTAGTTTGCAACATGGCTATAAATATATGCCCAGGGTTRAAATTTGGTTGATGGCCTCTTCTCCATCTATGCAACTTTTGAAATGATCCTGTTTAGATGCTAAGTGGAAATGCATGGAAAATACTGGCTTTTTATGTTTCTTTCAACTTTAAAGTTTAGTTGCTTACACACATGGACACATTTACATCTCTTAGTAAAAAAAAAAAAAAAATTCCTTCCTCCCCGAGTTTGTTAAATTGGGGAAGAGTTGAAAGGCTTGGCCTCTGTAGGCATTGGTTATTATTATTATTATTTAGTGTAGCAGAGACTCTGAAAACTCTTACAAGGTCCCTGCTACCTCGCGTGAAGGCACCCACCTGTAGAAGGGACTTGGGACACCGTGTGTCCACATTTCTCTGACTACCCAGTGCTAGAGCAGTTCCAGTGCCTCAGCACCGTGAACAAGAAGCTGGTGTTAAAATCAAGCTAGAATACATTAACTTCGCTCAGCGGGATTGAGGTTGGGTTTTTTTTGGTTTTGTTTGTTTGTTTGTTTTTTGTTTGTTGGGTTTKGTTTGGTTTTTTACTCACCGTGTCCGTTCAATTGCTACTTCTGAGACAGGGAACAAGCCCGGTATTTAGGAGCTTTCGTTTTTGTATACCTCTGTGTATGCACTTATCTGGATCCCGTGAAACATGCCTGCCACCCAGTGGATGTCGCTGATCTCTGTATATTCTATACGTTTACCACCTCTCCCCTGTGCCCAACCCTATCCCGTCGGTAAGTTTGCAAAGCCATGTGCTCAGGGTGCCAGACTCATCTGTGTGCCTGAGGCATGTGCCCTAGGATAGTGTCAGTCATGACAGCATGTGCCACCGTCCTTCCCGGCCAGCTTGGAATCAGAGGTGCGTCCCCCAAGGTGTGGCAGCTCTCTGGGCAGCAATGGGAAGGGGTAACAGGAATGAGGCAAACAATTGTTTGCAGAGGGAGAGGCAGCTTCATGGCTGAGACAACTGGAGAATTGGATTTTGAAGCCCTTGCCTTTGCTGTTAGTTTCCACATAAACATAAAGGTTTTTGCCCGTGGTCTGTTGGGTTTTCTGGGAGCCTGGCCTGAATTGCTGGGATCTGCTTCACAGTTATGCTGAACTTAACCATCTGGAGCATGAGTGTCTGTTTGCTCGCTATGTACAGAAGATGTTTTGCAGGTTTAAGCATGTTAGAAATACAAGCCTCGAGTATCAGAATTGCTCACTCAGAGGCCATAACTTTTTGCTTTAATCTATCTTAGTTTCCAATATTAAAAAAAATGTGGATAAAAGTATTCTTTATATTAGAGATTACTGTAGTGATGATAACCATAAAAGAACCTGAGAGAAAAGAAATAATTTCCTCTGTGATTTGAAAGTGTGCGGTGATCCTCTAGAGAACAAAGGCAAAAAGAGGAGTTTGTGTGTTAATTATAGCAAAGCTTCAGTGGGAAAAAAAATGTGACCAGGTCAGTTGCAAGTACAGATTGATCTAATTAGAGATTGATGCATATTAGCACTAGGAGACATTTTTAGTTACTGTAGACTACTTAGTTCTAATAATTCCTAAATTCTGCTCTGCTTATCATGTTTTCAATACTGCATTTTGTGAGTAATTTCCTAGGTTTTCTTTCTATAAGAAAAAGTGCCAAAAAGCAGATAGGCAGACCAAGGGTAGCGTATGTGTGTCACCATCCTTCATCAGTTGGGTTCCTGATGTAACATCTGGGACTCTGCTGTCTGTTGAGGGTCACCAGTGGTGGTAGGTCATGGCTGTGATCTGTGCTGCTGTACTTGCTCATATTCTGAGTACCTGATGCTGTTGTGGCCTCTGCCAGGCCTGATGCAGAAAGCCTGGAGCTTCCTGTAATTCCCTGGCGTGGAACATTTGGTCATTTGAGCTGCTGCAGCCCTATCCTGCCTGCACCAGCCCTGGAGGAGAAGTCACTTATTGCTGTGGGGAGGCCTGTGTTGTCTGGTCACCCTGAGGAGTTGAGGAGAAGGTGCATGTGGCTAGCAAACACCTGCTGAAAATGCACACAGTGTAATTTGATTTTGGACATTTGACCAAATGCAGGTGGACTTTTTGTGGGGGCAGCAAAAGGGAGATCTCCAGTATATGGGCTCCACCCCTCATGTCAGATTTCATATCTTCACAGGGAAATGGAAGGGCCTTATAGCCTTTCAGGTTTGCCAGATACCTATTGCCATTGGGAGACAGCATTTTCCCTGGTTTTGTTCTGAAAACAGCTCAAGTATTTTGGCTGAGTTCTTCTAATCACAATCTGCCTCTTTCTGCACCCCCCACTCGGAGGTAACTTCTACAGCACATGAAATAGAATTTAGCCTGAGGCAGACATTCAGCTTGGAAAATTTCAACCCAAACAGTCAAAGTCTGGCCAAGTTACAAGCAGCTGGAAGCAGCATTTTGCATTGGAAGTGTTCAGCAGCTGCCTAATAGGCAGTGCTACAAGCTTCATCAGTTCTGTGTATATGTTTATGCACATGGAAATATGCTGCTGAATTACATTGTTATTTGATTGGTTACCTGGTCTACTAACTGGCAGCCACTTGATTCTGATTTTTTTTTTCACTAGAGAACAAAACCTAAACATCTTTGGTTAACGCTATAAATGATTTTCCTTACGTTATCCATTATTGTTTTCTTGGCTGAAAAATTGAAAACTTTAAAATGGAGCCTCTGAAATAAATGACAAGCCAGGGCATACTTCTTCTGAATCTTTCAGAATGACTTAACAATTGCTAAAGACCAGCTTACTGTAGAACTAAAGCAAATTGCTTCCCAGCGTTTTGAATTGTAAAAACCTCACATCTCCCAGATTCCTAAGCTATTCATCAACTGCTCTATTGTAGCAGACTCACCCTATATTGTGTCCCTGATATATCTATTAAGTCTGCAGTGAAGTGTGAGTTTAAAACAATTGTGCCATGGAGTCACTGTGGAATAAATACCACAAACATTGGCAAAGTTGCTTCATAAATCTTTCTTAGTTTAGAGAGGAACTTAGGCGTGCCTTTCTTCTATTGGAGTGCAGCTGTTTCTTGTGAGGTTCCCCGGGGGCTGGATCTTGGTGTAAGGCTGGTTAATATCAATATATTCACAGCTTTTGTGATGATACTGCATCATTACCATTATATTACATGCCGGTTTCTCCATGTGTGGAACAAGTTACTAGTACACCATGCTCCAAATAATGTTTTTAGATGATCAGCATCCATCAGAAGGCATTTTTCATGCAGCTACATATGAAGGAACCAGGATTGCAGTTACACCAGCAGGTAATATATTGAAAAAAGGCTTAAGAATTTGTGCAGAGAATCATCTCAATGGGAGTTTTCATTGCAATGCTGCAACTGATGTGTGGTCATTGGCTGTGTAGCAATATAAATATTGGAAAGTATGTGGCATTAGTAAGATCACAGGAAGTCCATGTCTGGTTTTGCTGCTCACACGTGGGGAAGGATGTGAAATATTGATAAGAGCACAGTGATGAAGTGATCCAGGGTTTGCAGGCCAGGTGTCACAATTGCAGATTGTACATCTGAGAGGAAATTATGCTGGTACATATCATACACATGTGTAAGGAAGTACCTGATATTTGCTTGACCATCCAGTGTCTGAGAAGTGAAGTTTGGTATGTTGCACCTTGAAATATCAACTAGCAATGAGGGCAATAAAACACTGCAGTGGATTTGCCGTTGCTGGGAGTGTTTAAAGTGGGATGGGTTTTTTTCTCAAAGATGTGCTTTCACTTGTTTTAGTGGAGGATGTTGCCAG